GAGTTTACAGCAGTTGAATAATAAACAATTGTGTGACACAATTTTGTGGGGATTTTCCGTACATTTTAGATCCGTTTGGTTCATATTTATAAAGAGGGTTTTAGTCAACAAAAATATAATTTTATTTCAGGGGGAATTAACAATACCGCCAGAGCCAAAAGTGAAAATATTATCAAATATTTTAATCAGGCCACCATATCATAATGGAGAAGCTAGTATTTCTGCAAATTTTACAAAGAATTCTGAAGCAATCGATACTTCACATCAAATAATGACACCACGAAAACGTAAACTGTTAAACAAACTAAGCAGTGCGTTAAAATTAAGCATGGAAAGAAAAAAAAATTGGTATTAACTCGAAAAAAACTTGTTCGACGTGATAAGCGTGTTGCGACCATGAAAAACATTATCGCTGAGCTTCAGAAAAATAAATTTATGCAGGATGAATATTTGGATGTAATTTCCAAACTAGGAGGACCTGAAGAACTGTATTTAAGACAATACAAAAAAGGTACAAAACAATTATTACCAAGGCAGTACTCAGAAAAATTGAAGGTATTTGCATTAACCCTTCATTATTATTCACCTGCAGCGTATAACTACGTAAGAAAGGTTTTTAATACATGTTTACCTCATACAATGACATTTTGCAGATGGTATCAAGGTATCGATGGGGAACCTGGCTTCACTACTGAATCATTTCATGCTCTGCGGCTTAAAGTTTCTACGAAAAAAAAAGGGTTATGCAGCATGATTATTGATGAAATGTCTATACGACAGCATGAAGAATGGGTTTCGGAAAAGAATAAATGTTACGGATATGTTGACGTGGGAACTGGATCCAAAGAAATGACACTTGCTAAAGATGCCTTGGTATTCCTATTAAACTGTATCAATGGAACCTGGAAAATTCCTGTTGGCTATTTTTTAATCGCTGGTATCACAGGAGAGCAAAAACAAGGATTAGTGTTACAGTGTTTGGAGAAATGCCATGAAGTAGGTGTGCAAGTAGTCAGTTTAACATTTGATGGCCCACCTGTAAATTTAACAATGGCAACTAAACTTGGATGTAATTTAGACCATACAAGTTTAAAAACAAGTTTCAAGTATTCATCAACAAGTTTAAATGCAAGTGTGACACATCAGTCAACAAATGAGGAAGTGGTTATCTTTTTAGACCCTCCTCATATGGTGAAACTGATCCGCAATACACTAGGGGGAAAAGGGTCACTTATTGATGACAATAATGAAATGGTTTCCTGGAACTATTTGAAAGAACTTCATAAATTACAAGAAAACGAGTCGTTTCATTTAGCAAACAAATTAAGATCACAGCATATTGGTTTTGGCAGACAAAAAATGAAAGTTAGGCTTGCAACTCAAGTTTTTAGTGATAGTGTTGCAACCGCATTAGTTTTGTAGGGACGAATTAAAAATTAGAGAATTTGCTGGAGCTGGTGCAACAATTAGATTTATAAGAATGATGAACAATCTCTTTGATATATTAAATTCCAGAAATTTCCTTCAGCTTCATTATAAAAAGCCTTTGACTTTGAAAAATTTTGAATTTATAGATTCTTATTTAAATGAGGTAGATAAGTATATTAGTGCCTTAAAAACAAATGTAGGTGGCACTTTGCTTTTAGACACCGACAGACATACTGGATTCTTAGGTTTAAAAGTATGTATATCCAGTTTAAAACTTTTATTTAAAAGATTAATTTCTTCCAACACTCTACAGTTTTTACCAATTTATAAAATATCTCAAGACCACATAGAATTATTCTTTGGCTGCATTCGCTCACATGGAGGCCACAACAATAACCCCACCGCCCGACAATTTCAGGCAGCTTATAAGAAAATATTAGTACATGTCGAAGTACGTGAAAGTTTTCGTGGAAATTGTATTCCTTTAGAAGAGCTCCGAATTTTAAAATGTCCCGTTCAACAAATTAACGAATCTTCAAGAGACTACAGGGCTCTTGGGTTATCAGAAAATTACTAGTGTGCTAGATAATACTGAGCATGATCATGATTATTTACCAAACCCTACGCTATCGGAATTTACAAAATATATTGTAACGTATATTGCTGGCTATACTGTATTCTCTTAAAAAAAAAAAGCTTATTTGTGAGGAATGCATAAATGCTTTATGTGCAGACCAGAAAGACCTACAAATATTTTCATTTATAGACAAAAAAAATAAAAAGAGCCTACAGTATCCCTCTCTGGATGTGATAGACGTTTGTCTGCAATGTGAAGAAATAATCAAAAAGAGAAATGTTAGTTCAAATTATCATCTTATTTCTATAGACTCTATTGTATCTTCAGTGTTAGTCATTTATAAATAAAAATATATTTGCAAATTTGATAGCCCACGGTTTTGATCAGGATCCATTGGATAACCATAGAGTTCTGTTAATAAAAGCTTTAGCTACCAAATACACAAACATTAGGATGTGTTACCTTATTAAAAGTAAAATAAAAAAATGTGATAGCATAAGACATCACAATAATAAAATTGTATTGTTTAAGGGTCAATAAACATAATTTTTATATTGGATATTGATTTTGCCGTAATATATTTTCTATTAATACCTTAACAACTGTTTGATTATTTTATGTTAAACCGTAACTGATAAACCATGACATATAAAATGAAATGAGGAATTTTAATTTTTCTTTTTAACTATGTAACATAAAATCTCCTTTTACTTGCACTTTAATAATTTCTTAATACTTTTATTAAAACTGTTAATAATTATCCGTTTTATGACAATTAATTTATAACTTACAATTAATTAAAAAAGCAAATTAGGGTTTGAGTTGCATTACCAATAGTTCGGCCCTGGCAGAACGGCCATATTGGAATGATTGTCACTACGACTAAGTGATACCGTTTTGAATGTTTGAAAAAGATGCTTATAGCGTCTCTCTACCTCCATGTATCCGAGCGTACAGAGGTTCGATGTACGTTTTGTTACTGATAATTTTTAGAAAATTTTAAAGAAAACCGCATGTCGATCAGACTTCTCCGCAAAAAGTTATAGGTATCATGCTAGTTTGACACCACTAAGAAGCATCTCCATATAATGGGGCTGTCAGAATCTGCACTTTGCATATAAGAGAAGCACCTCTTGGCGACGTTGTCAACTACATTAAATCTGTAGGCGGTCTCGCGAGCTGGGAGGTGTCTATCTAAGGAGGATACACAATGGGCCTAGTGAGTCCTAAGTTCCGTGAGGTAACCCACCCTGCACACTTTACAGAATGTATTAACATTTATTAAACTATAGTTTTTGTAAAATTTGAGTTATTAGAGCCGATCTTTTCACCTCTGAGTAAAGTTACATGTAGGTTTAGTTGACAGATTAACGAACAATAGCTCTATAGTTTATTCAGCAAGTAATTACTTTCAACTTCACTCAGAGGTAAAAAGATTGGCCATAAATAGAATAAATTTACTTTTGAGACCAATAAATTGCTTTTATTTACAGATTATTTGAGTGTACTATTTAAAATGCACAGAAGTTAATTAAATTGTTCTGTAAATGGATTCTTCTGTTGTACTATAAAAGCTTAATTTTTTGTAATTTTAAGAAAAAGTAAGTACTATATTTTCAATTTCAAGGTCCCATTATAGTTTCGATACCATGGTATACTAGACTGTCAATACTAATCAATAAATAAATAATTAAAACTACATCTATCAATTGAAGGGTTTATTGGAATAACATGATAAGCCACAACATTCATTTATTAAGGAAACACATCTTCAAAGGTTAAAATAAACTTCTATCACTACTACAACTTTGTTAAAATGCAATCACTTGATTGTTCGGCTAATTATGGTATTTTTTGAAAAATTTCTATTTCGTTCAAGCTTTGGAACATTATTTTTTATTGTCGTGAAGTAAAAATGCCTTTATTTTAAAAAAATGTGGCTTATCATGTTTTTACAATGAACCCTTCAATCGTAAACAATAAAAAATCAATAGTCTCTTTTTAAAAAAATATTGGTTTTCGACGTAGCAACCTAAAAACTACTTAAAAACAAATAAAAAAAAAACACTCAAAATTTTAAAGTTTAATAAAAAAAACGAGTAAAAACTTAAAACGTATAAAACGTAAACCTTAAAAAAATGAGATTTAAGCTAAGTGCAGAACAAATTATTATTGATCTACTTCATTACAGCCTTCTATTTTGATAAATTAAATACTTAAAGTCAAAACATCTCCATCTATTCCTTAGTACTAGACGTTAAAACATTCTAATGGCACTCATAAGCAAGTGGCAAACACATGAAAAATTTGAATTTGATATTTTAAGAATATTTATAAAAACGAACAAAAACAGGACAACCTTTTTAACATATTTTTGTTGACTAGCCATTTCTTGATAAATTTGGAAAAAATTTAAAATTCATTATACAATGCAAGGGCGGCTCTAGGAGGGGGCCATAGGGAACATCGCCCTCCCCGAGACTACATTTTTTTTTCTTCTAATAAATGAGCCTTTTTATTAAAAAAATATACTAAAAAGGGAATTGTTATTAAACTTTTTTTTTTAATTTTTGAAGACACCTTTCACTGAAAGTAATTGAATGATTAGAAGAACAAATAATTACAAATTCAAATAGTAAATCGTTTATAATGAAATTAAAATATTTCAACAACTTCTTACAGTGAAAGTACCAATCCCAAAAAGACTGACTACAATAAAATATCAAATTTGCCCGAAAAAAAGTTAAAATATCTTAAACTGGGTATTATAACTATTATAACAGTTCTACACATATATTGTAAAAAAACAAACACATTCACATATATACAGTACAATTTTGGATAAAATGGTGTTAACAAGTATTCAATAAGCTTCCAGTTTAATTTTTCAATATGTTTAAACATAAAATAGATGGTGATGTTTTACTTTAACTAAGCTTTCTAAAAACTAAAATGTAAGTTGTATGTACAAAAATTTAAAAAATATGTTATGCTATTATTGGGGTGTGGTAATGGGCCTTTTGAACAGTAGAATGTGAGGCTCTGAAAAAAAAAATAAGAATTTAAAAAAATTTATTTGTCATGAATTCAATCTCAAAATAATGTAAATTAACCATGTATGCCGATAATAGTTCAAGATCCCGACTTAAATCGACCTTCTGTCATCCTTTTTCGTAATGAAATATACATCAAGAATGGGACACAGAACAACTACAGATTTTCTGATTAAAAATAAGACGATTACACGAAACATTCTTAGGTAAAATATTACTGGTTTCCAAAATGCAGGGTGGTAAAGTTTAAAATTCAAAAATTAATAATAGCTCAATTTTTGTATTTCCTTTATTTCGATTGGCCCTAAGTGTGATTCTTGAGGGACACCTGATATTACCTTTATCTCTATAGATATAAAATTAACTATCCTAAGAAATTGCGTTCTGCCAGTAAGATAAGTCCTCATCCAACTAAGGAAAAAACCATTTAGGAGATAGATAGATATTTATTGATGTAAAACAAAAATAAATATTTTACATGTATCAATGTTAAAAGTATAAAAAAAGATATATAGGTATAGATACAGAAAAATCAGTTACAATTTAGAAAAATAAAGACAAAAAAAAATATAATGATACACATAACATATTAAAACATACTTTAAAAAGGTATATTCACCAAAAAGGTTTACAAATTACTCACATGCACAGTGATAAGAATTCGTCAAAGGAATAAAAGCAGTTACTCCACAAATATTTGCGAATTCTTATTTTAAATAAATTAAAAGAAGAGTTTTTATAAGCTTAAGGTAGGGAATTGTACAGTTTAATGCTGATATATCTATAAGAATCATGAAGTTTGGTTAATCTGTAATTAGATAAAGATATATCATAATTTCCTCTGGTGCAATAAGAATGTTTAGAGCTCTGTCTTATAACATTATTATTACCAATTTGTTTTTTCATGTATAAAAGACACTCTAAAATAAAACAACATGGTAGTGGCAAAATACCCAACTGTTTAAAAAATAGGTTGGCAGTGACTATTGTAGCTACTCGATGTCATTATACATACTACATTTTTTTGTGCAATAAATACCCTAAGTTGGTTGCTTGTATTTCCCCAAAGTATAACCCCATATGTCATAATGCTATTAAATAATGAAAAGTAGACCATTTTTAAATGTACAATGTTTAATTGAAATTTTAACTGTCTAATTACATAAGTAGCTTTTGCTAAACGACTTAGTAAACTTTGAATGTGATATAATAATCTAGTTTTGGGTCTAAATATATTCCTACAAGTTTAACCTGTTCCTCACTTTTAGAAATGATAGAAAATGACATTTGCTGAGTTTTTGCTTCGTTTAATGTAGGACTATTGCTACCAAATCAATTATTTGACATAACTTCTGCTTCATTTAGCCTTTCTATTGTATCAGATTTATTTTTATCTGTAGTAATATATGTTGAATCATCATCATAATACACCTGTATGATATTACTTAGATTAATTGACAAATCATTAAAGTAAATGATAAAAAGTAAGGGGTCCGAGAACAGAACCCTGTGGAACTCCATACAGTACTGAATTCTTGCCAGAAGTATGCCCATCAATTTGAACATATTGAGTTCTTTTTTGCAAATAAGAGGTATTAAGCTGTAATGGTGTCCCTCTAACTCCATATCTCTCTAATTTTAATAATAAAATGTCATGTTGAACGGTATCGAACGCTTTCGTAAGGTCATAAAATCTGGCAGTACTATGTGAACAATCCTCAAAACCATCCGTAACAGCTTCATAGAGATCACATATTGCGTTAATTGTTGATTTGTTTGCCATGACAAATATTTTCGGATCTCAAAATTCGTTTTTAAAAAAAAAAAATATTTTATAATTTTACAAGTTTATTTCATCTAACACAATACATCTAACTACCAAGAGATCTAATTAACAAGTGAGTAATTCATATAAAAATGTTGTAAACCAGAATAATGAAATTAGATACGCGATAACAGTTTCTAAGAAAAATAGTCATTGACTCTTCAATTCACATAAGGAACGTTGACGTAATTCATATAACCGAATTGACTTTGGCTTAGCAACTTGTTGCTTTCAAAAAAATTCATAATTCGTTGTTTTAACACTATATCAAAAATGTTGCTTACTATTGGTCTAATTGAGATAGGTCTGTAAGCAGATGGTAGATTCATGCCCCCTTTTTTGAAAACAGGGGTAACTCGTGATACTTTAAATGTATCTGGAAAAACTCCAGATTTCATGCACAAATTAATTAAGTTAGCAATGGGATTGTCTAAAATATCAACAACTGATTTCAACAAAACTGCACTCAATCCATAAATATTCCTAGCTTTAGATTTTTTTAAATCTTTGATAATTTGATGGACTTCTGTTGTATTTGTGGGGTTCAAAAATATTGATAAATGATTAAAGGAATTTTTTTAATAAAGCTGTTAACATTAGTAGACTGCTTGCAATTTTCAAGTAAATCATGAATTACACTTTGAAAGAAATCTGCAAAATCATCGACAGACACATTGGTTTTAGAAGATTTATTTCTGCCCAAGTTGGTGTTAATTATTTGCCAAGCTGTTTTTTGTTTATTATCAGACTCAAATATATGTTTATTGTTCAAAAGCATTATAGATTACATAAAAAAAATTGGCGAAAGTGAAACATCAGCAGACTTTGGTGTAGAAAGGAAAATATGGCTATACTTATATCGAGTAAAAAGATACGTTACTCCAGAAAAAATAATAACATAAAAAATCAGGAAACTTTTAAAAATGCAGATATTGTAGTAAATGAATTACCTACAAAAGAATCTCAAAACAAGTGCTTTATGTTTGGCATTGACCACAGATATAAAGAAGACATTTACGAACCCTCAGCTTGGCCCAAATCTGTAGGTTTAACCAATACCAGCAAGGATTTTAAATAGTACACCCAGCTAAAACTGCTCGAAGTCAGTGCAAGAACTTAGATACCTATCGAAAAAACATAATGTACAGTGCATCGGGAAAAATTCTTTGGTGAAAAATCTCATTGTGATGCACTACAATATTCAAGGACTTGGTAACAAACTTGACTCACTAAGCATTACATTGGACGAAGAACAAGTAGACATACTATGTGTAAGTTAACACTAGTTACAAGAAGAGGAATTGAACATGGCGAATATTGATAATTTTAAGTTAATAACATATTATGCTCAGAAGAATATGGACAGATGAGGGGTCTGTATATTTGCAAGAGATTACATAAACATTCAACCGATTTCGTTTTGTCACTCCAGAGAACAAGCTTTTGTATGTCTGTCAGTCATAACTAAACGATCCAGTGGTAAAATACTTATATGTGTATATGGAACAGGTAACGATTTTGATACTTTCATGTGTAGTTTATATATATTTTGCATAAATACTTTAATGATAAAGACAAATATATCCTATGTGCGGATATTAACATAGATTTTTTAATAGAAAGCAGAACTAGGGATGAATTGATCAATTTATTTTTAGAATACAATATCAAACATCATATATAAATAAGCCTACAAGAGTAACAAATTCTAGCCAAACTTGTATAGATGATATATTTTCAAATCATACAACAGAGATAATTAAAGTACGTGACTCTTTTCTGTCTGACTATACTTATCAGGTGGTAGAATTTGAAGAGTACCAAATCGGAGAATATGACAGAAATACTCAAACATTCTACCATTTAATAAGAAATAAAAAATGGGATGGATTGTATGAATCATCAACTTTCCATGATAAATTCAGTTTGTTTCATGATACATTTTTATACCATTACAATTTTTCCCTATAAAAAAACCAAAGCAAAAATAAAAAGAAAAAATGTTATGACCCTAGAATAAAAAGTATGCATGACCAATTATGTGAAATGAGGAAAATTGAAAAACGATTAAACAGTCCATTCTATACTTCTAGGTACAAATAATTTAAAACAATCTATAAAAATACTGTTAAATATTACCAAAAGAATAAATATGATGAAATAATAAAAAATTCTGTAAATATTTTGAAAGATAGCTGGAAAATAATCAAAAATGAAACAGGTGAGGTACACTGTAGTTCCTCTATACCCAAACTAGAAATTAATGGAAACAAAATAACAAATCTTCTAGAAAAAAGTAATGTATTAAATAATTATTTTGTAGAATTAGCTGATACTTGTCCAAAACCAGATAGTAAATTTTCCTAAGAGATTTTTTCTCACACCAGTAGCCCTAGAAGAATAACTTTATTGAAAAAAAACCACTAATAAACCTTCCGCTGGTATAGACAATATATATGGCAGAGTTCTGGCTACAGTTGCTGAATACATATGTGTACCACATACATACCTAATCAACTTATCATTCACTACCGGAACTTTTCCGAATCTTAAAGAATCTAAATGCATCCCAATCTATAAAAAAAGGCTCGTGTACAGACCCTAAAAATTACCGCTCTATATGTATAATTGTATACAGAGTCAAATAGCTAAACTTCTTGAAGCAGCATTTTCCACTAGACTAGTAAAGTATCTCGAAAATTATTAAATAATTTCCGACAGTCAACATGGGTTTAGAGCTAATAAATCAACTAACATAGCAATATTAGAATGTATAATATATAAAGAACTTAACCGGAAACAGCATATTATAGGTATTTTTTAAGACCTTACCCGTGCCTTTGACTCAATAGACCACAGCTTACTATTAAAAAAACTCGAAGGTATAGGAATAAGAGGAAAGTCACATGACTGGGTAGTCTCATATTTGGCGGATCGGTGTCAGACAACGGCTATTGATGGGGCTTCATCTGAATGCAAGAGTAATGCATTAGGCATTCCCCAAGGCACATTGCTTGGACCAATATTCTTTATAATTTTTATAAACGACATTTCAAACACTTGTTTTTATGCGGATGATGCCAATATGATACTGTCAGAGAAATGTTTCAATACCCTAGTAGAAAATGGAAATAACGTCACAATGGAATTTGAAGGATATTGTG